TTGGCCTTTCTAGGTTCCAGAACTCCCCTGACCACTTGGGGCCCCTGAGGCAGCCCTTCCAAGAGAGACACTCGGTCCCTGTTCCCTGCTGTCATTCCAAGCAGCTCCCTTCCTAGGAACACTTTGGAACTTCACGTCCACAGGACAGGACAGACTCCAGTCCTCATCGTAGGAACTCTGTGGCCCCTGCAGCAGTGGAGAATGAAGAATTCTAGACCGTGTCTCTTGTTTTTGTCCTCCTTCCTGAGCCCAGACCTCTAGGAAAGCTCCATCCAGAAATCCCAAGCTCACCGCAAGCTCAACAGGCCTGCCTGGAGCCCATTGTCAATCACCAAAAAGAGTCTCTTGCTTCTTGAGTCACACAGGCTCTAGAACTATCTATCTTGGTGCCTCCACAGCCCATCCTCGAGAGGAAACTCCTCTCCATTTCCAGGGGAGTTGGGTTCCCAGATGGACCCTCAAGGCCTCCTGCCATTGTTAGGGGAAGCACGCTGACAGAAACCACCCACCCTGGCCATACACCATAGTAAGCATGTGTGAGTTATTTTGTGACAGGAGGTCCTAGTAAGGAACACAGAACTAACAAGACACCACCAACCAGAAAAATTAGGAAAAGGTCACAAGGAGACACCACAGGTCCAATCATCTCCCAGAATCCTTCTCTCTGGCACCCATCTTGGCTGAGCCGCTAGGAAGGGCCCTGAGTCAGAATGGTTGGCCAAAGAGAGCCTGGAAACTAATCCCATCACCAAAAAAACTGGAACCAGGGAGCTACGAGGCAGAGCAGTCCTCCTGGGTTCCCGGACCCTACTGCTCTGCACCCGGACGCCCCTTCCCGGTGAAGTCTCCTGCTTTGTCAGATCGTGTGTCTCCTCAAGCAATTCAATTCTGAGTGGTAGGCAGGAGCCCACTCTCAGGCCCTGGAAGGGGTCTCCCTTCCTGCAAAACCAGGTTGGCTCTCAATGTATCTGTCTTACCAGGGTGACCCACCCCTGCTCTGTCCTTGGGCATTCTCTGGTGTCCAAAAGCCTCCACCTGGTTTTAGTGCTCCTGTTGCCTAAAGATGCTCCTGCACCAGTACGCTTTCCCAACCGGGCACGTGCCCCTCGCCTTCAGGGCATTCCTACACCTTGACTCGCCGGCACAGCCCTGCAGTGTTTTTCTGCTTTCTCCAGCTGGCATTCCTTGTCCCTCCTGTTCACTTGTCCAAGACCTCATCAGTCTTCATGGTGGGAACTGGGGAACCCAGAGGACGGAGCAGATGAGAAACAAAGAAAACCACAGATGCCACCACTGGCATCTGCTCTGATGTCTGAACCCTTCCCTGAGAACCCAGAATACATGCAGGGAGGTGGAGGTATGCAGAGGGCTGAGGGCCCTCCAGTGTGGGCTCACGGGCAGCACAAACCTAGAGTCAGATAAGTGAGGTCATGGTGATCATCATATGATTACCGGTCACACTGTTCCCGGGTAAGTCACTCACCCTCTCTGACCCTTGCTTTCCTATCTGCCTTCCTTTCATTTCACAATCTCCTTAATAAAAGTCATACTGACTGCATGCTGTGAAATGTCTTTGCAAATAACAGATCCTTCTTCCAGTTGGGGGCAGTGGGCCTTGGAGCGTCCTCAGACCTGGAGTGCCCTGGAATGGCCTTACTTGCCTGACCTCTTCACGCCTGACAGCTGTCTGCACTTATCAGAGACAGACACTTTTTGACTCCTTAGTGTGCTAATGGATCCAACATGATGTTTTTCCTTGCAGTTATGAGCATCTTGCCAATAGGGATCTTTGCTTGTGTGGATGGGATCTCTAAGGTCTGGCAGGAGGCACAGAGGCAACACACTTGCTGACTTCTGGGTCCTTCCTCATTGTCATTGCCCTCAGCTTCTGCCTGGGGAGCTGAAACAGGCAGACCCCTCCTAAGGCTGACCCCCAGCATAGCATCCTTTTCTCTGTATATTACCTTAAAGCTAATATGTCTGTAATTAATGTATTTTCAGTGTTAGGGGAAGTGTTAGTCCCTAACACAAAGTTTACACCCCCAGTCCTGCCTCCTCTCCCCTCAGGTTCTCCCAGCCAGAGCCACTACCCCCAGTGCGTCCTGGTAGAGGAGAAGGAAGTACATCAAGGCATTGTGGACTGAGGTCGCCTCTAAGGACCTAAGTTCCTGTGTGGGCTATCTCACAGCTGCCCTTGAAGACCTCCAGAGACATCCCCACCTGTACTCCCCCACCCTCAATCCACTCACAACCCCTCACCTTCAACTCAAGCGATGCCACTTTCAACTGGCTGGCACCTTGGGCTCACTCCCCCAATGCTCCTCATGGGAGCATCCACTTTGCCCACTCCTTCCCCCAGGGGTGCTTCCCTGTTGCTAAGGAGTCAGAAAGTCTGAACCCAGGGGAATCAGCTTCTAATCAGTCTCTTCCCAAACTAACGGCCGTGACAAGGTTATTTTGTTTATCTGTTTGCTTTCTGGCTACCCTGCGCGGCTTTCTGGATCTTGCTTCCCCACTTAGGGACTGAACTCGTGCCCCCCGCAGTGGAAGCCCAGAGTCATAACCACTGAACTACCAGGGAAGTCCCTCCATGACAAGGTATAACAAGGACCTCAGAGCCTGCCTCCCCCTCAAGCCCTTCCGTGATCTCTAACTAGAGGGGCTGCCCCTGGCCCCCTTGAGGCTCTCCCCAGGCCAGGAGGGAAGCTATTGGACTCCCCGTGGGCTCCTGACCCGCGGCCAGGGCCAGCAGCCTGTGCAGTGTCTCCATGAAGTTTGGAAAGAGCTAACCCAACACTTGGGCCGATGCAACCCCCAGGATGAAGGCAGGCAGAAACCACCGCCCAGATGAAGAAGCCCCTTGGGGAGGGTGGATTCCAGTGAACCATCAACAACATAGCACAGCCCAGGCCCTTCCCTCTGCACCCATGGGTCTCCAGGGTGACCCCTTTAGCTCCCAAAGACAGGATGAGGTCATGGCCAGGGTGTCCAGCCCTTGAGCAGCCCCCTCCCCTGAAAAGAGAGGGAGGGAAGAAAGAAGGGAGGTTAGCCCCCTGCAGCCCTCTCTGAGGCCAGCACACATCAGGACCACTGGGAACCAGGGCCGGGTCTCACTCACCTGATGATGTGGATGTGGCAGTGGCCGTGGATGTGGCAATGGCCGTGGATGTGGCAGTGGCTGAGGAGGAGGCAGTGCTGGGCACCCAGAGCCAGAAAACCATCGGCAGGATCCAGGTCACCAGCATCTCCCTGAGCGTGAGACCCTGGCTGCAGGGTCTGCCCACATCAGGAGAGACTAAGAAATGAGTGCCTCCCAGGGAGAGATCAGCTATATAAAGGACCCCAGAGACCTTTGCCTTGGGAAGGACGGTGTCTGGCCCAGGGTGGAGATGAGCATATGGGGCTGAGTAGGTGACACATACTGACCACGGGGAGGTGGCCAAAGGGCAGCCGGGCCACCCTCTTCCTCTCTAAGAGACCAGAACCACCCTCCGCAGGGTCTCCAGGCAGCAGAAGCCAGAGTCACGGGTGGGGCAGGGCAGGAGGGAGGGACCGACAGTCAGAGGTGTGAGTGCGTGACGGTTGCTAAGAGGTGGGGGCCAACAAATGCCACAAAGACGGTGAGTGTGGAGGGAGGGGTGCCAGAGCCCGGGCATGGGGCTGCGGCCAGGCCAGGCCGAGGGAAGAACCCTCCACCTTTGCCCCCGAGAGGCCTCACTTCTGGTCTTCTTTCCCCGTCATCCACCCAGTGCTGGCCCCTTCCGAAGAAGGGCAGTGGCTTCTTCCCCCAGGCCACCTCTGATCCCAGTGCCTCTCCCGGGCGGGGCTGCCTCTCACACCTGAGGCTTTATGGTTCTGGTCTCCACCCTCACAGTGGCCACTGCCAGTACCCTCTTCTGTCCTGAACAAAAGTCCCAGGGGCTTTCCGACTCCCCCACCCAAGGAAGCAGGTTGTGCCAGCCCTGACCCCCCTCAGCTCTGGTCTGGAGGGATTGGCTGCCCACAATAGTGGGAACAAGACGGTCCCAGGTACGGCAGGCAGGCTCTGGCAGGAGTGTGTCTGCCACCGAGGCTTCTAGTCTCAAGGTCTTTGGGGATGCTTGGCTTACCCATCAGAGCCAAAGGTGGCTCTGACCATTGTGGCCAGCGGCGGCGGTCACCACTCCAGTGGGTGACCCCACCAGGGTCACCCACCACCCAAAGCCAGCTCTGAGCTCTTAACATTGAGGGGCACAGACGACAAACTCCACAGGCTTCCACCCCCTGCGTCCACCCGCTCCCTGAAAAAAAAAATGGGTCCTCCAGTCTTTACATTCCCTTTGAAGACAGTCATGGCCCTTGAGAGCTGACCAAAGAACCCTTCCTTCCTCAATGGGAGAAACCAACACTCCCACAGTATCTCTTCCAGTGTACTTGCTCCTCAACCAATGGGAGCATGAGGGGAAAAAAGGCACAGAGCAGGTATTTTGTTTTGTTTTGTTTTATTTACAACAAATATTACATTATGTACAGTTGGGTGAACTGGAGACTTGCAGACTTCCTGTCCCCAAGTGAGGTCTTCCTGCAAAGGAAGGCTGGGCTTCTGGCTTCACAGGTTATAGCAGAGATGGGGCTGAACCAGGGAGAGGAAGGGGGAGGGGAGGTGGGGGAGGGGTAGAAAGTGGGGGCACTAAGGGAGAGGAGGGAGAGTTAGGGGAACAGGGAGGAGGGGCTGAGGGAGCTTTCCCACCTCAGGGCCCCTCTTCCCCTCATCTTCAGGGACCTGGGTGGAGGCATCAGGAGGAGTGGGCCACTTGAATGTTACAGGGGACAAACCAAAGTTTGGAGAAGTTACTGATTTGCCCAAGGTTCCACAGTGGAAGAGCGTGGATTTAAACTGGGTCTCCAGGTGGGTTACACCCAAGCTGGGGGATGAGGGTAGATGGAGGTCTGTTATGCCCTAGGAAACTAGAAGACTGCGCCGCAAAAGCCTGCAGCCATCTCTCCAAAGGCAGTGCAGATGGTTCTCTCCGCTGTCTGAGCAGGTGGAGAGGGCAGTGTGGGCTCACAGTGAGGACAAGGCCATCTCAGGTCTGTGAATATGCACCTGCCATAGAATTCACAAGACGGGGAGTGAGAACAGGGAATCACCCTGCAGGGGCCTGGCTAAGAGGTCACTGCCTCCTGGCCCAGCGAGCCCCCTGCCCTGGGAGAGGGGCATCAGGAGCCGGACCTGCGACAGCTCCTTACCATCAACCCATCCCCAACCCCTCACCGTGGCATTGGTGTCCACGGTGTCCAAGGCCACAGGGAAGTTTTCTTCGTAAACTAGAGAAAGAGAAAAGAGAACAGGGGGAGGAAAAGGGGGAGGGAAGAAAATGTGAGGAAGGCGGGGCCTCAGGAGGCTTTCGTGAAGGGAGGGCGTGTGCAGGACCTGGGCCTTAGAGGGGGGCGCGTGGAAGCAGCGAGGGCAGGAGGTAAACGCCTGTCTTGGACAGGAGAAGTCTTCTAGTTTCCCCGGGAGGAAATGGTGCCCAGGGAAGCGCCCCCCACCCTCGCCAGAAGTCAACACTCACTGTCATCTTCGAAGCCCGAGTTAGAAAAAGTCCCCGCAGTGTTCTCATCCCAGGTCTCGAACCACTTTCTGTCGTCCCTGGACCTGCCAGAAGGGCGCCGCGTTGTCAGGGCAGGGTAACCCGGTCGGAGACGCCTTTCCCGTCACCCATCCACCCCCAGCTCACTCACCTGCCTCGGCCCTGCCTGTCCCTCCTCCGGGAGCGCACGAGGAACACGCTCAGCGCCACCACCAGCAGCAACAGAAGCAGGGCCCCGGCTCCCGCCAGGCCCCCAACCAGCGCCTTCCAAGAGATGGCCACCTCGCAGCGCGGGCCCAAGAACCAGTGCGTGTCCGTGGAGAAGCAGCTGGGGGAGGGGGCCACAGGTCACATCACCTCACCACCTCCCGGGTCTGGTCCATCCACGCCCCTGGACCATCCTGGTCCTGGCAGGTGGGCGGGGCTCCATCCTGGGGCAAGTGGGCGGGGCCTCTGGCCGGCCGCGGTTAGGGGTCGGGGATTGGCCCAGCTGGCTGTGGGCGGGGCCTCACCGGCAAGAAGGACCACTCCTCTGCAGAACGCATTGGCCCTGATGGCAGTTAATGGCGCCTTCCAAGCCCGCCGTGCAATTGGTGACACAGCGAAGCTGGTTCTCCTCCAGCAAAGGGAAGTAGAAACCCTCGTAACCTTCGGCAGCAGCGCGGCGACAGATGGCTGGGGGATAGGTAGGGGGTTGCAGACGTAAAGACCTCATGCATTCTACTCTGGGGCCTGGCTATGGTAATTCTGAAAATGGATAGAGGACTGCATTTCTGCTGGTGGCCTGTCGGCGGGTAGACCGTGGGATTAGATGAGTGCAGGGTAGGCCCGCCACCCTCTCCTCACCTTCTCTGCTGATCCTTCCTCACGTGGAAGCTACTAACAAAGACCTGAGAGGCAGCCGTGCCAGGTCAGTACCACAATTTCAATGGACAGCTGTCCCTTGTGAGAGGGATCCCTGCCACCTGGGGCCACTCAGCCCTTTACCCCACCTCTCACCTTCAGGTGACAGCTCCGTCCTGGTGGCGTTGTTCACCTTGATGGAGTCAGGCTTAAAACACAGGACTGGGGGCCACAGGCACAGGTGGAGTCGGGGGAGGCACAGGAAGGGACAGAGAGCGCTTTGTCAGTATGGGGGAGGTTTGGATGGGCCATGAAGGAAGGCTCCTTGGGCCTCCCTCATGTCCCCTGAATAGCCAGGGGTCCTCAGCCACCGGGAGACCTTGAGCAACTCTCTCTTCCGCAGCTCCTAGGTTCTGACAACCCTTCCTCAGGCTCACCCTTGACCCAGTTTTCTGTGGACCCGTCTCTCTTCTCCTATCCTGCCTGAGGTACCACAGAGCTGACACCTGCCCCCCGTAGGCCCCTGTGTTAGCTGGAGCAGGCTGGGATGGTGGCTGTGACCCTGACCCCTCCCTCCAGCCCCAGGCCCCCAGCTTCTGTTCACCCTGGTCATTCTGGCAGCTGTTCCCATCCTGGCTGACATTCTGGAGCTCCTCCTTCAAGGCCACCTTCACCTTCTCATACTCCTCCTCCAGCTGGGTGCTGAAGGGTAACTCCAGCAGGACTAGATATTCCACCACGATGCTGCCATTCCTGGGGGTGGGAGTGGGGTGCAGAGAGCCTTAAAAGGTGCCTAGACCCAAGCCACCATACAACTGTAGAAGGGCATTTCCAGACCAGCCACAGCTATGCGGGTATTGGCAGGAAGGGGCAGAGGCAATGAGATGGGATTCCAGACTGATTATGTCCAGAAGGGGCCGCTAGCTTCTCTGCCTTGGGCAGCCTGGGATCAAGGAGTGATTGACATTCTTTTTGTGTTCCCTCAAGCCATAATCAAACCGTGCCCTCCTGGGCTCTCTGCCTCCCTCTTGCTGACCCGTCCACTATAGCAGGTGCCAACCAGAGAGACCAGCTATGGTCCAGACACCAGGCACCAAGCCTCAGGCACCTCCTCCCTGTAGATCCCAATCACTCTGCATCCAACATGCTTCAAGGGAAGGGGAGACATCCCTCCTACAGAGGAATGAATCCTGAAGGTGATCCCCAAACACCCTTCATGGAGTAGTTCCTTCGCCTCCTCCATCCATCCCTCTCTGTGACATCGAATGTCTCCAAAAGCAAAGGATGGCTTCTTTGGCCCTTTTTTGTGCGCCCCTCCCACCACCACACACACTTGACACTGCCTCCACAGCCCCAGAAAGGGGTCCTACCTCAGAGAAAGGATCTGCACCTCCTTGAATCCCTGCACGTTTTGGTAAATCTTCTTTATCTGAAATGCCAAGGATCCCAGCTCACATCTGAACCTCCAATCAGATGGCACCTCCGGGCCCAAGCTACACTGCAAGGGCATACATCTGAATTTTCCCCCACTTCCTCCTCACCTGATCCTGGAAGGCGTTTGTGAAATCCTTGTAGACCTTAGAACTGTTGTCATTGAGGTCCGGGGAGAACTCCTGGTTGACAGACACCTCCATGCCCACTTCAGCGTCCACCTTGTCTGCACAACATGCCTTTTCTGGTCATTTCATGATCCGTTCCTGTCTAACATCACTACCAACCTCCCAACCCAGATGATGCTCCATGGACCCTCTGAGGACTGACTGAATAGCAGGAAAGAGAGGGGTAGGAATTCTGGAAGGTGTTGTTCCGAGATGTGAGAAACACTGCAAGTGGGAGTGTCCAGCAGTCAGTTCTGTAGTCTCTCGGCTCCCTCAGTGAAGCAGAATAACAAAGGTGCCTATGTCTAACCCCCAGAACCTGGGAATATGTTATGCTACATGACAGGGAGCAATCAAAGTAGCAGATGGAGCTAAGGGTACTAATCTGCTGATTTAATATTGGAAAATTAACAAGGAATATCCAGTGGGCCTAGTATAGTCATAAGGTCCATAGAGAGAGGAGGAAGGAGGCAGAAAAGTCAGAATCACTCAAAGAATGATGTAAGTATGGAAATAAGGAACAGACATACAATGCTGCTGGCATCAAAGGGAGCCAGGGGGCCTTGTGACAAAGAGGATGGGCAGCTCTCAAGTCTGGGAAAGGGCAAAGGAATGGATTCTTCCCGAGGGCCACCAGAAAGAACCAGTCCTAGGCAACACCTTAATTTTAGCCCTTCATGACTCGTGTTGGGCTTCCAATCAACAGAATTGCAAAATAATAAATTTGTATCATTCATCTGCCAAGTTTGTGGTAATTTGTTATAGGAGAAATTAGAACTTAATACAACTCCAAGCAACACAAACTGGGAGGAGATATCAAAAAAGAGAGTGACCCCAGCGATCTCCTGGAGGTAAGGGTGGAGAGTAGTCATGGTCTGGGGTTGAGGAGAGCACGAGGGAGAAAGCACAGATGAAGAGATTTGGCAACATGATTGGGCCCATTTGAGGCGTGGCGCCTCCTGAGGGAAAGTGCAGAGAGCAACTCACCCATATTTATCTCTTCCACAGCGAACTCGCATTTGGGGCCATAGAAAGTGCTAAGGCAGGAGCAGCGGTCCTGCGTCCAGGTGCCTCCATTGTGACAATCTTCTGGGTAGCAAGCGAAAAGGGGAAGTTCAGGCCAGGACTGACCTCGGTCATGGGAATTTAGCAGGAGAGGGAGGAGAGGCAACAAGGAAGCAAGTGATCCAAACCTGCCGTGGTGGTCTGCCTGGACTGTGTGGTCGTCTGGGTTGTGGTTGAAGTTGTCCTGGATGACGTAACGGTGGAGAGAGTCTTGGTGGTGCCTGCTGGTGTCCGTGAAGTAGTGCTGATGGCTGGGCTGGGGGCTGTCAACTTGCTTGTAGTCACAATGGAAGATGAAGAGCTGCTACTTGGCTTCATGGTCGGTGGGAGGCCAGTGAAGCCCGTTACACGTGGGGTAGTTACAAAGCTGGTGCTGATCCAGGTCCCAGTGGTGGATCTGTGTGTGCTCGGGAAAACCGTGCTAATGGGAGTGGTCCCAGTGCTGACAGGACCAGGAGCGGCGGTCTGGTTGGTGGGGTGAGTTTCCAGAAAGGAAGTGGAAGTGTCCGGTTTTACAGGGAAGACAGTTGTCGTGGTTGTGGAACTGGGAGAGGTGGCCATCTCAGTAGTGGAGGTAAAAACTGACAACGGGACGGTGGGTGTAGAGGTGACATCGGTGTTTGGACCCACCTCGATACATGGTGTGGTGGGACAAGCAGACACTATTGTGACTGATATGGATTCTGGACATGGGGTGGTGGAAGACAGAGTCAGCATGGTGGTCGTTCGGGTGGGAGAAGTCTTTGGGGAAGTTATGGTGGAGGAAGCTTTTGTCGTTTCAGTTGATGAAAAAGTAGGAAAGGTAGTGATAGAGGAAGGGCCTGTGATTTCTGTGCTGGACGCTTGAGAGGAGGTAGAGAAAGAACTACTTGTCGTGGAGGTCTCTGAACTTGGGCTGGTAGAAGATAGAGAGGATATTGTTATTGCAGGTATTGAAGAGGAGATGATGGTACCGAAAGGGGTACTTATCGCACTAGTAGAAGTACTCAATATAGGGAAAGCTGAAGAGGGAGAAACACCTGACGTACTGAGAGCTGCTGTGGAGGTGGGTGGTGTTACCATGTTTGAGGTCCCAGTCTTAACAACTTCTGTGGTTGAGGGAATGCTAAGAGACGCTGTGATCAAGGTGGCAGGGGGAGACGTATATGTGGGAGTGGGGACTTCAGTTCTGGTTGTGGTAAACGTCCCAGTCGGAGGTGAAGGGGTGGACGTGGCCTGGGTGGCAGGGATTGTGGGTAGGGTAAAGAGAGGGGTGGTGTCTGTGGTTTCGGTGGGTACCAGTTCTGTGGTTGGGAAAGATGGAAGTGATACAGGGAAACTGGATGCTGTCCAGGTACTACTGGTGACTGGAGTAGAGACCGGAGATGTCTGAACATGGACCGCATTTGTTTGAGTGGCTGAGGGTGTGATTGGAGAAAGAGAATTAATATCTGTTGTGAGAGACTCTAAAGAAACGGTGCTGATGGGAGTGGCTGTGGTTCTCAAAGTGGGTGAAGCAAGCAGGGTTGTGTCGCTCACCGTGGCTGTTTCTATAAAAGCTGCAGTGGAGGACTGTCCCATGGAAGTGGAGGTAATGTATGTATCAGTGGTGGTGGGTGTCAAGGAGGTTTCAACCATTTTGTGCAATGATTTAGTGTGATTTGTAGATGAGGTGGTATTCTCTGCTTCAAGGATCCTGTTACTGATCTGAGACATGGTGGAAGAGGATGCAGATGGAACAGCAGCATTTGTGATGAGGGTGGAAGTTGTGCTGTTCTGGGGACTGGTGAAAATGAATCTCGCATTAGGCATGGAAAAAGAGGTTGTGATAACCCTGAATACAGAGGTTGTGTCTGTATTATGGGTGGTAGGGGAGGATGGGATGTTGTTTGTGGTGGTGGATGAGGTGCTAGACAGCCCAAGCGTGGAGCTGAGGTCTCTTGTGGAGCTCAATGAGCCACTGTTACTCGTGGATGTGGACTCAGTGGTGGCTGAGGTCGGGGTAGGGGTTTCTGTACTGACAGAGGATGGAGGTACCGTTGTGGATGTCTGCACGATGGTGGGGTGAGGGAAGGATGCAGTGAATGCAGACGTGGCCATGCTCCCTGTGGAATAGGTGGTTGAAGAGGTGAGGATCGGGGTGGTTGGTCCTGTTGTGGGGATGAGTGTGGTCACCAGGTGTGTACTAGCAGCCTGTGTGGTTTCTGTAGTGGAGGGCAAGGGCAGAGGGGTTGTGGTTGAGGTCAGGGTTGCAGTGTCCGTGGGAGTGGTGATTTCTGTCGTGGACCTGATGGAAGTACTGGTTCGAGTTGAAGGGACAGAAGTGGTGTAGGGAGTGGGGATCTTGGTTGTCAAGGTGGATAGGGGGCTCGTGTTTCTAGTGGAAGTGGAGGCTGGCTCTGTGGTTGTGGTAGGAGTGGATGAAGGCACACTCGTGGACGATGTCAAGGTATTGGTGGTAATGGGCGTAGAGGTGGTAGATGTGGGAGAATATAGTGTGCTGGTGGGAGTGGCAGATGATGTGGTTGATGGAGGAGAGGATACCTCCGTGGTGACAGGCTGGCTAGAGGTGTCACTGGGAGGAGACCCTGTGGTTGAGTGCAGTGGATGGGTACTTGTGGCAGGTGAGGTGGTACTGTCTGCCTGAGTGGTCCTGGTAGTGCTGGTAGACATGAAAGAAGTGCCTAGAGATGTATCTGGAGTGCTGGTAGAGGGGAAGGGAGTCACTGTGCTGTGGGTTGTAGCAGATGTGGGTGTCTCAGTAGACATAGTGGCTGAATTTGTGACAACCCTGTTGGTTGTGCCTGTGGTATAGGTGGTGGGGGAAGATGGGATGTTGTTTGTGGTGGTGGGTGAGGGGCTAGACAGCCCAAGCGTGGAGCTGAGGTCTCTTGTGGAGCTCAATGAGCCAGTGGTACTCGTGGATGTGGACTCAGTGGTGGCTGGGGTCGGGGTAGGGGCTTCAGTACTGACAGAGGATGGAGGTACCGTTGTGGATGTCTGCCCGATGGTGGAGCCAGGCAGGGTTGCAGTGGATGCAGACGTGGCTGTGCTCCCGGTGGAATAGGTGGTTGAAGAGGTGAGGATCGGGGTGGTTGGTCCTGTTGTGGGGATGAGTGTGGTCACCACGTGTGTACTAGGAGCCTGGGTGGTTTCTGTAGTGGAGGGCAAGGGCAGAGGGGTTCTGATCAAGGTGGGCGCTGCAGTGTCCATGGAAGTGGTGATTTCTGTTGTGGACCTGATGGAAGTACTGGTGGGTGGTGAAGGGACAGAAGTGGTGTAGGGAGTGGGGATCCAGGTTGTCAAGGTGGATAGAGGGCTCGTGTTTCTGGTGGAAGTGGAGGCTGGCTCTGTGGGTGTGGTAGGAGTGGATGAAGGCACACTCATGGATGATGTCAAGATATTGGTGCCAATAGGAGTCGAGGTGGTGGATGCGGGAGAATATAGTGTTCTGGTGGGAGTGGCAGATGATGTGGTTGATGGAGGAGAGGACACCTCCGTGGTGACAGGCTGGCTAGAGGTGTCACTGGGAGACCCTGTGGTTGTGTGCAGTGCATCGGTGCTTGTGGCAGGTGAGGTGGTACTTTCTGCCTGAGTAGTCCTGGTAGTGCTGGTAGACGTGGAAGAAGTGCCTAGAGATGTATCTGGAGTGCTGGTAGAGGGGAAGGGAGTCACTGTGCTGTGGGCACTCATGAACATGGATGTTGTACTTGGCATGGTGGCTGAAGTTGCTTCAGCGCTGAAGGTTGAGTCAGTATCTTGGGTAGTGGCAAAAGATGAAATGACCTTTGTGTGTGTACTTGTAGGTGAGGTGCTAGACAGAGTTAGTGTGGCACTGAGGTTGGTGGTAGAGGTCAATGCAACAGTGGTACTCCTGGATGTGGACTCAGTTGTGGCTAGCGTGGTTTTCCTTCCTGTAGAGAAGCTGTTTGATGATGTGACACCTGGTGTTCTTTGTGATGTTCCTGATGTGGGTGTTACTATGTTTGGAGTCCCAGTCTTGTCCATTTCTGTAATCAAGGTGGTTGGCAATGTTGCTGTAATTGAGGTGACTGGGTTTGAAATATAGGTGGGAGTGGTGATTTCTGTTGGGATTGTGGTCATAGTAGTAGTGGGGAATGGAGGGGTGGACGTAGCCTGGGTGGTAGTTATTATCAAAGTGGATAGAGGGGAAGTGTTTGAGGTTATAGTGAGGACTGGTTCTGTGGTCAGAGCAGGTGAAGACTGAGGCTTACTGATGGGTGATGTCAAGGTATTGGTAGTCACTGAAGTGGAAGTAATGGTTGTCGGATAATTGACTGTATTTGTAGGTGTGTCTGATGATGTGATCGGGGGAGTAGAAGTAGTCTTTGTCATTACAGATTCTGTAGAAACAACAGTTGTAGTAATAAATGTGGTTTTCCTGGTGGAAGAAGCATGAGATGCTGGGTCCCTCGTCTCGCCTATTTCTGTAGTGGCTACAGTGGTGGAGGGTGGTCCCTTGGTAGTGGATGTCATGTGTGTATCAGTGCTGGTTGGCGCAGGGCTGGATTTGGATGTGGTAAATGTGGCAGGACTGGTTGAGGACATGACTTGTGTCATAAGGAACTTCTCTGAATTTCTCCTTTTGTCAGTCACTGGCATTATTTCATCTGATTTTGTGGTTTCTGTCGTCATTTTTATGGTTATTATTTTATTTGTTGTTTTGTTGTTTTTTTCTGAAAGAGCCCTTTTCTTTCTTACTGGATTTGTCAGATTTCGAGGGGTAGTTTTTGTCCTGATTGCATGTTCTTTAGATGTAATATTATTTGTGTTCAATGTTCCTAATGTTTTTTCAATATTGTAGGTGGTGTTGGAAAAATCAGTATTATTTTGTTGCTTTTTCAATAATCTGGATAGAGTAATTTTGGAACCATTGTCATTCATTGTTTTCATGCTTTGCCTGGTTTTGGCTTTAGTGGTTTTTGGTAATATGGTATTGTTACCATTACTACCGAAATATAGGATTGTTTTTGTGGTTTTCTGTGTCCATCTAGAGTTAGGGAAAACTGAGGTTATTGCAGATGTTTCTGTGCTTCGTGTTTTGGAACCAGTTTTAAATATGTTGCCTAGAGTACTCTGTGGTGTGTTCGGCGTGAGTGTGGTTAACATGTATGTTTTCAAACTCTCACTTGTTTCTGTCCTCGAAGGAGTGGGCAGCATGGCTGTCACTGAGGTGGCATGCTCTGCAGTGTCCGTGGGAATGGTGATTTCTGTTGTGGATCCGGTAGGATTGCTCTTGGGAGTTGAAAGGACAGCACTGGTGTGGGTATTAGGGAATCTGGTAGTCAGAGTGGAGAAAGGACTCCTGTCTCTGGTCGAAGTGGAGGCCTGCTCTGTGGTTGAAGCAGATGAAGACTGATGCTTACTGATGGGTGATATCAAGGTACTGGTGGTCACTGAAGTAGAAGCACTTGGATAAATGATTGTATATTTGAGAGTATATGATGGTGTGACTGGGGCCGCAGAAGCAATCTCTGTTGTTAGAGTCTCTGTAGAAACATCAGTTGTAGTAATAAATGTGGTTTTCCTGGTGGAAGAAGCATGAGATGCTGGGTCCCTTGTCTCGCCTATTTCTGTAGTGGCTAGAGTGGTGGAGGGTGGTCCCTTGGTAGTGGATGTCATGTGTGTATCAGTGCTGGTTGGCGCAGGGCTGGATTTGGATGTGGTAAATGTGGCAGGACTGGTTGAGGACATGACTGGAGAAACTGAAGTAACTGAGGCAGTGAGAGTTTCTGTGGGAATGTCAGTCACTGGAATGGGTGTTGTTTTCATGGAGCCCGTTGTGTTCACAGGAGTTGTGTTTGGTGTACCTGTTCCAGTGGTCGCTTCAGTAGCAGCAGATGCACCTGGTGTTGTAGGTGTTGTCAGTGAACCAGCTGAGGTCGGAGCACGCGTGGTGGCTGTGGGTGTTTTAAGTGTACTGAGCGTGTCTGGAAGTGAAGCAGTGCTCACAGTATGGGTGGTGGGTGAGAAGCTTTTGTCAGTCACTGTTGTTGTCAAGGTGTTCCTAGAAGTCAGAGAAGGGGCAGTGGGAGAGGTAGGCGCGCTTGTTGGGGTAGGAGGCGCAGTTGTGTGGCCACTCGCAGCGGCTGGCGTAGTCCTTTTAGTGGCCCCAGTCATAGAGGAGGTCAGAGTGTCTGGGGTTGGGTGTGTGGCTGGGACAAAGGAGGAGAGTGGGGCTGTGGTTGTGGGAGTTTTCCCTGGAGTGGTGACTGTGGGGGGACTGGTCACGGCGGAGGTGACTCTCTTGGTTGTTGACACGGGATAAGCACTGGTGATGGCTGTCCGTGGTGTCTCTNGAGTTTTCCCTGGAGTGGTGACTGTGGGGGGACTGGTCACGGCAGAGGTGACTCTCTTGGTTGTTGACACGGGATAAGCACTGGTGATGGCTGTCCGTGGTGTCTCTGTCCCCGGCGTGGTGGGGTGAGAGCTGGGGAAGGACACGTGGGTCTGGCTCACGCAGGTGGTGGTGGGGTAAGTGGTGGTGATTATGAGGCTTGTTGGATTGATGCACTCTGTCGAGCCCATATAGACGATCATGGTAGGTGGGCTGGTTTCAACCTTGAAGACAAACTTGGACGTGGGGGTTGTTGTGGGGTTGGAATTGATGGGTGATTTGAGCAATGTTTCAGACAGGGATTTCGAGTTAGGGGAGGTGTGGATGGTCTTGGGTATGTTTTCCCTAGCATCGGGAGTGGGAAGAGTTTGGGGGGTGTTCAGTGGCCACTTTGCTGTGCCTTTGGAGTGTGGGGGATTCCTCAGAGCAGTGCGCCAAAGCCCATTAGAGGTGGATGTGGCCATGGCTGAAGTTCCTGTATTGGCGTAGAACAGAGGAACACAGTGGTAGGTCGGCCTGTCACCTTAACACCACATAGGTTACTCACTTCCCCATGTTCCAGGTACGTGTCACAGAAGGTAGGACATGCCACCAGTTATTCCTCCATCAGAAGCACTTTTGCACTGGTTTCCTTCCAGTTTCTAAAGGCCAACATCTGTGTACTCCCCGGGGCAGCCTCACCAAGAGGAATTGAGATGGGAAGGAAACCTTAATCCTTTGCCCACGTGTCTTCCAGCCTTGGTATTGAGACAGACAGGGACCTGGGACCCTTCACTGCAGTGCTGCAATGATTTCACCTAGACACAGCTCTCCCCAGCCAACAAAATACGGAGAAACTATACGGGACTACTGTGCTATGCTGTGCTTAGTCACTCAGTCAGGTCTGGCTGTTTGTGGACCCCATGGACTATAGCCCTCCAGGCTCCTCCGTCTATGGGATTCTCCAGGCGGGAATACTGGCGTGGGTTGCCATGTCCTCCTCCAGGGGCTCTTCCTGACCCAGGGATCAAACCCGGGTCTCACATTGCAGGTGGATTCTTCACTGTCTGAGCTACCAGGGAAGCCCATATGGGACTATTATATGGAACTAAAATAACTGCATGCATTGGCAGTTGGGGCAATATTACAGACAAAAGATACAAAGAGACCAAAAACTCAAGTGCCATTTTTAAAGAACCCAGAACAAAGAAGCAAAAGCAGGGTGTCAGGAGCAAAGAGCAGGGTACTGCGCTTGCCGTCTTCACACAATGGCACTTAAGTGGTGGGCAAAACACCTAAGCCTCTCCTCTGGCCCATCCCCTGGACACACATGTACCCTCACCCCACAGAAGGTGCAAACTCGCCTCCCCCTCCTCAGGGAGTTATTAATAGCAAGAAGGGAACCTGCTCTTTATTCTCGCTTCCCCCTTCTGCAGCACAGGCCCCAGTAACGTCTTGCCTGAAATTTTTGTCTGGCCTCTTGTCAATCTCTATGGATTGGAGAAACCCAAGAACCCTGGTCAGCATCAGGATGACAGTGCTGAGCACACAGGTTCAGCGTGCTCCGTCCTGCCGTCGCCCCTCCCATCCCGTCCTCCTCACACACCCACGTCCCCCTTACTGTGCTCCTCCCACCTTCACCTGCTGCCCAGAGTCTTTGTCCTTCTGGTTCTATGCCCCACCCTCTGGCCCACCTCTGCCCCTCTCCCTGTGACCCACTGCTGTCTAGGCTGACTCTCCTCTTTGGAGAGAGAGACAGAGAACCCAGCCAAACCTGGGGTGGAGACACATCATGGAATTCAAGAGACAAGGGGTCAGAGAGCAGCAATCTCAAAGAGAATACCAGAAGGGAAAACAGACTAAAGCTCAGACTTCATGGAGTTTGAGGGGCAAGGAGACTGGACCACATGTAGGCTGAGAGTCAGAACAGAAGGGAAACTTCCAGAAAGAGACACCTCAGCAGGCAGGTATGAGTCCTCAAGACTTTTAATGTGCAACCTTGAGTGTTGATAATAAACACAGATACATTTTCTATCATCTATTTAAACCAAAGGATTAATTAGTTTACAAACACGAGTCCTCCCTACAGATATTGTCAACCCCACCTTGTAGGTCATAAGAGTGAGGGTCAAAGATCTCATGATGCTGAGGGTGACCAGCAGACACAGCAGTTACAAGCAGGAAACACCCAGACCTCCTGCCCTCTCGGGGTTAGTGTCCTCAACTAGACTCCTCATGTCTTTGCTCTGAGAGCTGGGATTTCACTTCTCAGCTTTGCTGGGGTGTCGTGGATGTAAGGCAGGGGATTCTGAAGATTTCTGGCCCAGAGCCCTTGTCGCCAAGAGCCGACCCTGGAGATAAGTGAGAGGGTGGACTGGGGGGACCTCTGTGATGGGAAGGTCTAGGATTGGGGCTCAGAAGCAGACCCTGGGGCAGGAGCAGAGGGAAGGGAAGTGCAGAGGAATTCCAAGGTTCCTAAGGGGTGGGAGGATCCCATACTAGGTGGTCTCAGAACCACCCTTTGGGAGTCATCAGGATCTCCCCCCACCACCCTGCCAAGGACAGCTGTGTCCAGAAACGTGGGTTGGGTCAGGATGGGAGAGTCAGGGGCAGAGCTGGAGGAGGGGCCACCATGACCAAAAGTGGAGATGCCCCAGAGAAAGGAGGGGTTCCCAGGGCAGACACAGGTCCCTCAGGAGGGCTGAGTGGGCAGAAGTAAAGGGAGGGATGGGGCTTCCCCGGGGAAGTGGTAAAGAATCTGCCTGCAATGCAGGAGACGCAGGAGGCGTGGGTTCAATCCCTGCGTTGGGAAGATCCCCTGGAGAAGGAGATGGCAGCCCACTCCAGTACTCTCGCCTGGGAAATCCCGTGGATAGAGGAGCTCAACGGGCTACAGTCCGTGGGGTCGCCAAGAGGCAGACAGCACTGAAGTGACCGGGCAGGCGTGCACAAAGGGAGGGAGAATCCAGGATGGAGGAAGCGTCAGAGCTGGGGGAGCAGGAGCAGCAGGAGGAAGGGGACTCCGAAACCTGAGTCCAAGTGGGAAGAGCACTCTTCCAGAAAGAGGTTATCCCATCCAACTGATGCACACGGACTCCTGCAAACCTGCTCGGCCCCTGGGGGAGAGCAGCCCCTGGGACCCAGCCGCCCTCCCCTCCCCCTGCCTCGGTTCTGCTCGCTCAGAGAGCTCTGAGGGACCCTCCTCGGGCTCCTTAGACCTCAGAGTCCCCCCAAACTTGACCAAAAGTGGAGATGCCCCAGAGAAAGGAGGGGTTCCCAGGGCAGACACAGGTCCCTCAGGAGGGCTGAGTGGGCAGAAGTAAAGGGAGGGATGGGGCTTCCCCGGGGAAGTGGTAAAGAATCTGCCTGCGATGCAGGAGATGCTGGAGGCGTGGGTTCAATCCCTGCGTTGGGAAGATCCCCTGGAGAAGGAAATGGCAGCCCACTCCAGTACTTTCGCCTGGGAAATCCCGTGGATAGAGGAGCTCAACGGGCTACAGTCCGTGGGGTCGCCAAGAGGCAGACAGCACTGAAGCGACCGGGCAGGCGCCCACAAAGGGAGGGAGAATCCAGGATGGAGGAAGCGTCAGAGCTGGGGGAGCAGGAGCAGCAGGAGGAAGGGGACTCCGAAACCTGAGTCCAAGTGGGAAGAGAGAGCACTCTTCCAGAAAGAGGTTATCCCATCCAACTGATGCACACGGCCTCCTGCAAACCTGCTCGGCCCCTGGGGGAGAGCAGCCCCTGGGACCCAGCCGCCCTCCCCTCCCCCTGCCTCGGTTCTGCTCGCTCAGAGAGCTCTGAGGGACCCTCCTCGGGCTCCTTAGACCTCAGAGTCCCCCCAAACAGGCGCACACACTCTGCCCTGGGACATCAGGACGGTCTCCGCAGCCCTCCCCCACCGCGCCTCCTCACCTGTGGACCCCAGGAAGGCCTTGAGCATCCAGAGGAGACGCAGCACCCTGAAGAGCTGCATGGGTCCGGAGGCGCCGCGGAGGCTGGGAGCAGGGCCAGCGCCAGCACCGGGGACTGCAGCGGGGAGGCGGCACGTGTGCACAGCGGCACCAGACGAAGTTATCTGCCCTGCCGGGCGTGGGGGCTGAACATAGCTTCACCTTTGCAGGGCCCCACCTTCCCCCTTTCCCCCCTCCTCTCTGGATCTGATGTTGCTGCAGGGAGGCTGGACTACCTAGAAGATAAGACAAGCCCAGGGGGTGTTAACCAGGAAGAGCTGCTGGTGGCCCAACCCCAGGATGCCTGGCCCCCTCAGAGCAGTTCCTAGGACACTTCCCTTCACTACCCTTCCCCTGCCCTCCACCAAGAACTAGCAAAACTGGACAGAGAACTCACTTGGCCAAGACCTCGGACTCTGGAGTCTGGGGCCCCTCCTCAGTTTCACTCCCATTGGTCTAGGCGGTAAAGCATCTGCCTGCAATGTGGGAGACCTGGGTTCAATCCCTGGGTCAGGAAGATCCCCTGGAGAAGGAAATGGCAACCCACTTGCCTGGAAAATCGCATGGATGGAGGAGCCTGGTAGGCTACAGTCCATGGGGTCGCAGAGTCAGACACGACTGAGCGACTTCACTTCCACTTTTCACTTTCTTGCCCTAGGGGGAGAGAAAAATGTGTTCTTCTTCACTCCCTCTGCCCCTCACTCTTCCCCCTCTCCATCTTGTGCTTAGCATGACTCGGGCCTATGACCCCACTGCTAGAGCCGGGGAACAGTGCAGAATTTCATCAGAAGTCATTTTAATATCAGAGGACTTGGTCCAGGTCTCAGAAGAGGAAACACAAATGGCTAGTGGAAACAATCAAATAAAATGACTACTTTTGACCTAGCAGATTAGCAAGTACTAGGAACTTTGATTCCATCCAGTGTTGGGCAAAGTGGGAAGAATAAACACTTTTACGTGGCTGGCAGGAGTATAAGTGGGTTGGGCTGCTTTAAAAAGGCAATTTGGTGGCATCTATTAAAATTTTAAATGCACGTTCAAGGACCCAGTAATTCCAACTTTCCATCTCTGTGTTCAAGAAGCACTTTAAGGAGGCATTCATGAGAGTGTTTATTGCCATCCAGTTTATTGCACTTCCAGTAGAAATTGGAAACAACCCAAATAGCCCTCCATAGGAAACTAGGACTATGGACAAGTCATAACATATACTACCATGTTCAAATAAAAAATAATGGCACTGTCATGGCAAGGCTCTAAGAATGGTTTATACAGTG